TTATTAAGTTACGATGGTGTGGTTTGAATAAGATATTAAGCGATGGTTGGTGTAGTTTGATATCGATTACAAGTTCGTTGGTGTATTTTACAGTTAGTCTTTCAGTTAGGTTGGAGTTGTTTGAAATTAGATTTCAATGTAGGTTGGTTTGGTTTTAAATTGAGTTACGTTTTAAGTTACGTTGGTTTGGTTTGAAATTAGTTATTAAATTACGATGGTGTGGTTTGACATTGGTTGTTAAGTTACGTTGGTTTTGAATTATATTTTAAGTGACGTTTGGTGTGGTTTGACATTGGTTGTTAAGTTACGTTGGTTTTGAATTATATTTTAAGTGATGTTTGGTGTGGATTGATATCGATTACAAGTTCGTTGGTGTATTTGACAGTTAGTCTTTAAGTTAGGTTGGTGTTGTTTGAAATTAGATTTCAATGTATGTTGGTTTCGTTTGAAATTTGCTATTAAGTTACGTTGGTTTGGTTTGATATTGGTTGTTAAGTTACGTTGGTTTTGAATTATATTGTAAGTGAAGTTTGGTGTGGTTTCACATTGGTTGTTAAAGTTACATTGGTTTGGTTTGAATTATATTTTAAGTGACGTTTGGTGAGGTTTGATATTGATTACAAGTTCGTTGGTGTATTGTACAGTTAGTCTTTAAGTTAGGTTGGTGTTGTTTGAAATTAGATTTCAATGTATGTTGGTTTCCTTCCAATCCAATCCAAAATCCAAATATAAAAAATTAAACAAAAATCTTGAGATTAATTTTTAAAAGAGACAGTAAAAAAAAGTTATCTTACCCTTGGAACTTATGTGTTACATCAATGAACAGTCACTCACCAATATTTTAATGTGTTACAGGTAATTGAAAGACAAGTCATCGTCTCTTCAAGAACCCTGAGCATCTTACAGCTCCAGAGTAAAAACAGATTTTACAATTTATTACATTTATTAAGAAAGTAATTTTGTTACAGTAACTGATTTATAGTTTGTTATAATAAAACTACTGTTAACATTTATTTGTCAGACATTTTATCCTTTACTTGATGTTCACTTAATCTATAAATTTAATTTAATAGGCTGACGTTATGTGATAATTGTTTTGCAGCTGCTATACGTATCCAATCACCAAGTTTAAGGTGTCCTTGGATAGGTTGGGGCACTTACATTTTCCATCCTACAAAACATTAATGCAAATTAGTTAGGGTATACAGACGTTTTAAAAGTTAGGTCCTTATGGAAACAAGGTCACACCAAGACCATTCAAGATGACATATCTCAACTATAAATAATTATTAGAACATAAACGACGTGTTTTCCAGTTCATAGCAATTTAATAAACATATTTCAAAAGAAAAACAGAAAATCGTACCAACGGAATAGGCCAGCAATAGAAATTTATGGTAATTTAATATTTTCTTGAGGCAAATTTTAAATAATGCATTTAATTAATAATTACTGATAATTTTATCAAAAAGGTGTTAGATATTGTTTATTAAGAAGCAACTAACATGTACAAACGAAAAAATCGTTTTTTTGTTAGTTGGGTTGTTATGGAACCGAGGTAACACCAGCACCATTCAATATGACATAGCTCAACTATAAATAGTTATTAGAACATAAACGAAGTGTTTTCCAGTTCATAACAATGTAATAAACATATTTCAATAGAAAAACAGAAAATCGTACCAACGGAATAGGCCAGCAATAGAAATTTATGACGATTTTTATTTTCTTGGGGCAAATTTTAAATAATGCAATCAATTGATAATTACTGATAGTTTTATCAAAAAGGTGTTAGATTATGTTTATTAAGATGTAACAAACATGTACAAACGAAAATAATCGATTTTTTGTTAGTTGGGTTCTTATGGAACCGAGGTCACACCAGTTTAATTCAAAGTTACCTATCTCAACTATAAATAGTTATTAGAACATAAACTATGTGTTTTCCAGTTCATAACAATGTAATAAACATATTTCAAAAGAAAAACAGAAAATCGTACCAACAGAATAGGCCAGCAATAGAAATTTATGGTAATTTAATATTTTCTTGAGGCAAATTTTAAATAATGCATTTAATTAATAATTACTGATAATTTTTATCAAAAAGTGGTTAGATATTGTTTATTAAGAAGCAACTAACATGTACAAACGAAAAAATCGATTTTTAGTAAGTTGGGTTGTTACGGAACCGAGGTCACACCAGTTTAATTCAAAGTTACCTATCTCAACTATAAATAGTTATTAGAACATAAACTATGTGTTTTCCAGTTCATAACAATGTAATAAACATATTTCAAAAGAAAAACAGAAAATCGTACCAACCGAATAGGCCAGCAATAGAAATTTATGGTAATTTAATATTTTCTTGAGGCAAATTTAAATAATGCATTTTATTGATCATTACTGATATTTTTTTTCGAAAAGGCGTTAGATATTGTTTATTAAGAAGTAACTAACATGTAAAAACGGAAAAAATAGATTTTTTGTTAGTTGGGTTGTTATGGAACCGAGGTAACACCAGCGCCATTCAATATGACATAGCTCAACTATAAATAGTTATTAGAACATAAACGAAGTGTTTTCAAGTCCATAACAATGTAATAAACATATTTCAAAAGAAAAACAGAAAATCGTACCAACGGAATAGGCCAGCAATAGAAATTTATGACAATTTCTTATTTTCTTGGGGCAAATTTTAAATAATGCATTCAATTGATAATTACTGATAGGTTTATCAAAAAGGTATTAGATTATGTTTATTAAGATGTAAAAAACATGTACAAACGAAAAAAATCGATTTTTTGTTAATTGGGTGGTTATGGAACCGAGGTCACACCAACGCCATTCAAGGTGACATATCTCAACTATAAATAGTTATTAGAACATAAACTATGTGTTTTCCAGTTCATAACAATGTAATAAACATATTTCAAAAGAAAGACAGAAAATCGTACCAACCGAATAGGCCAGCAATAGAAATTTATGGTAATTTAATATTTTCTTGGGGCAAATTTTAATAATGCATTTAATTGATCATTACTGATAATGTTTTTCGAAAAGGCGTTAGATATTGTTTATTAAGAAGTAACTAACATGTAAAAACGGAAAAAATCGTTTTTTTGTTAGTTGGGTTGTTATGGAACCGAGGTAACACCAGCGCCATTCAATATGACATATCTCAACTATAAATAGTTATTAGAACATAAACTATGTGTTTTCCAGTTCATAACAATGTAATAAACATATTTCAAAAGAAAAACAGAAAATCGTACCAACCGAATAGGCCAGCAATATAAATTTATGGTAATTTAATATTTTCTTGTGTCAAAACTTAAATAATACATTAAATTGATAATTACCGATAATTTCATCGAAAAGGCGTTAGAAGTTGTTTATTAATAAGTAACTAACATGTACAAACGATAAAAATCAATTTTCGTAAGTTAGGTTCTTATGGAACCGAGGTCACACCAGTTAAAATCGAAGTCACATAGCTTAACTATAAATTTGTCTTAGAACATAAGCGACGTGTTTTCCAGTTCATAACAATGTAATAAACATATTTCAAAAGAAAAACAGGAAATCGTACCAAGGGGATAGGCCAGCAATAGAAATTTATGGTAAGTTATTATTTTGTTGAGACAAAACTTATATAATACATTACATTGATAAATACTAATATTTTTTTCGAAAAGGTGTTAGGTACTCTTTATTAAGGAGTAACTAACATATATAAACGAATAAAATTGATTTTCATTAGTAGGTTGGGTTCTTATGGAACCGAGGTCACACCAACGCCATTCAATATGACATATCTCTACTATAAATGAGTGTTAAAACATAAACGACGTGTTTTCCATTTCATAACAATGTCATAAACATATTTCAAAAGAAAAACAGGAAATCGTACCAAGGGGATAGGCCAGCAATAGAAATTTATGGTAATTTTTTAAGTACGATGGGTTCTTATGGAATCCAAGTTACACCAACGCCATTCACGGTGACATATCTCAACTGTAAACTAGTCAGGGTATACGAGTAAATAAGATCGTTGTTAAAGGGGAATAGTTCAGCAATAAAAGACAAAGGCCTATTGTAATATTCTTACACATTTCAACCAACTAACAGTACGAGTGTACAAATCATTATAACTTAGTATAAGGTTTAGTGCTAGGATAGGCTTTAAGCGTTTACTTTGTTACAACTCCATGAAAACATTAATTCATTTATGCAGTTTTTTACATATATTTTAGACACTTGGTATAATCAACGCTTGGCGGGAACAACCGAACGCCATCTTGGCCGTGTGCCGCCAAAAAAAAGTTCCCGCCACTGATATTTTGGAGGTTATGTCGTCGGCTCTATGACGAATCCTACTGTTACGCCATCATTGTTATGACGTTTTACTGTGACGTACATTCGTCGGAGGGGAAGTAGGAGAAGTGGAATGGGTTATTGCTCATCTATTGCCAGTTTCACGCCGATAATTCGTAGGCAGCGCCACCAGCGTTGCCATGCACTTAGCATAGCAACGCTACAAATTGGCAGGCAAAGCTCTCTCAAAACACTTAATGCTTTTTACCATGCGGTTGGCATTCTGGGTAATAGTAGTATGTTTTCTGTGGCCTAAGATAGAAAGGTTATTTCTGTTAAGTTTTAAGTTAGAAAATGTTAAGATGTCCTTAACTTAGAAGCTTAATTTTATGTTGTATGTTGTTGTTCCGAATTGGTGTGAAAATCAACACAACAGGATCAACTAGTGGACACAGATAATTTAGTCTTTTATTGATGTCCTAAAGATAGGCGACAGGCCATCTAAACTCCACGTGGATAGGCCTTAAGATAAACAGCGAGCATGATCTATGTAGGCCTAGGCCTAAGGAAATAAGCTTGTGGTAAGTTAAATTAGACCTTAACTTAATTGGAAATGTATGCTACTTTAACTCTGTTCGTTCTTTATTCTATAACTTGGGTATAATAGTAACCAAACCTTGGGTTACCTTCAAGTTGGCTCCTTTTGGTAGAGTCACGTGGCTTCCGTTGCAAATGACTAAATATCAAGTCTTGGTACAACTTTTCTATTTCTAAGCCAAAAGGTATGCCTATGCTTATTATATCTTGTGACATTTTTGCATTAGGCTATGAATAAGCTGATTTTCACGTTTAAAGGCGCCTAGTAAGTTAACAAGTTCTTCTACCTAGCCAAAGGTCAAAAATCGAATTTCATTATTTAGTCTTAAATAGGACTAGCCCTAGTTTAATCAAGTTATGTGCACCTATAAATTATGTCGAGGTATACCCTTACTGTTAGTGGTACATATTTAAACTCTAGCCTTAGCCTATAAAACGCGTTACCACAAAAACTAACCACGAAACCATCATTTATCATTCATACCATGAAACTCAATCATTTAAGTTAACCTGAGTGTCGAATGTCCTGTGAAACAGAAAACGGAATAGAATAAACTAACTTGATTAACCTCAACCTCTATAACTTTACTATTATTATTAATTAATTAATTATTATATTATTAAGTACTTTCATTCGTAATCGTAGGCCTAATCTAATGGCTTAATATTTATTCATATTCACTTCATTCGTTTGTTCAACAAACTTTGTTTTGTTGGCGCCGTTGGCGGGTTTTCTATCTATGGTTTTCTTTCTCAGTCTCGCGCACGACCGTGAAGAAGAAAGACAGTGGATGTACGACGTGCGTATCGATACGCATCGATACAAGGACCACAAAATATCGATATTTTGTATCGATACGTGGGAACGTATCGATACACCTATAGCCAATATCGTATTGCTTATTTATTAATACGAGAGGTCGTCCAGTGGTCGAAACTCGACCAAAAATATGTAATGTACAGACTTCTATTTTCTCCCCACTCTGTAAATAAAACATGTGATTTGAGTTTCTTCCATTTGTTTTGATTTTCTGTTTATATTTCGTTGTTATTTCGTAACCAGCATGGCAACCCACAAATTCCATGTTAATTTTTTCAAATTTTTAAACTAATTTTTTGTGCTTATCTTTGAGCCTATTTTAATTTATAAAGGGATTCTGCACACCTACAGGAAAATAGCTTTCTAACGGTATGCGTAGATTTTCCCTACGATGCACACGAGCTGAGAAAAAAGGTTTTAAAGAAACATGCTTGCCTATTAATATATAGATAGATAAATCTTATTTTTATGGTAAGAAATTTGTCTTTCCATCTTCCTCCCCTCAAAAGAAGTATTGGAAATTTGATATTTTACCCTAATCTTCAAAAACACTGATAAAACATTTATTTTCAGCTGTTTTGCAAATAACCTCAAAACTCGGGCCACCATTAATGGAAGTGGGGACCCACATTGTCCATATTATCACAGGCCACGGCCTTCGAACTGGCAACGTCGCAAGTGGTGTTGTAACAGCTGATTTTATGGAAGCAACTAATGGTATTTGTATTTTGTGTATTTACGAAAGATTGATTACTGGACTATGACAATATTGACTCCGCTTAAAATTGTGCAGATATAGATTTTAATTCATACTGTTTCAATTTTCAATTATGTATGTTTTATTTTCAATATTTTAATAAATTTATGTTCATAAATTAAAAATTAAACTAATAAAGTGCGAATTAATGAGCTGATGTCACCTGTCTGCCATGTTATCTTATGGGACGTCTGTCACTGAACGACACCACTTGCGATGTTGCCAATATCTACCAGGCCGCGGCCTGTAGTTAAAGGCGGCCGTGATATTAATGTGTAAGTGGCATACCCACCATCATTATTAGTACTTTTTGGTCCAATTAATTATCCCTGTGTAAAAACTAGGAAAACAATAACAAAATGTTTTCCAATTTGAGGGTTTACCGGAATTTGGAGGTTATGTATGATACAAATAAAAAGTCATAGGAAGGTCTTATAATATAACTAGCTGTACCCGCTTCATAAGTATTCGCATGGCTCATTCACGTCCTGGTTGAAGTTCGTTCGCTACGCTCACTCACCTTTAAGTTGGAGCTCGTTCGCTGCGCTCACTTGCCTTCAGGTTAGCTCGTTCGCTACGCTAACTCGCCTCAAGGTTGAAGTTCGTTCGCTACACTCACTCACCTTTTGGTTGGAAATTAGCTGTTGTCATAAATAAAAAAAGAAATTAATAGTGCTGCACCCTGTTGGTAATCCTTGTAACTTTTATGCTGTTGAACATCATAGAACAGAACCAACTTGTTTAATTGAGACAGCTATTAAGATTCATTAATTCCTTTTAAATATGAAAACTCATAAGATTAACATGGGGAACTACAGAGCCACTGGGGCGGAGCCCGAAAGGGTTTTTGAGATAAGAATATGCTTTAATGTTAATCGGGAATGTGAGCTATCAGCATGCCAAATTTCAGCCCAATCCGTCCAGTAGTTTATGCGTGATTGAGCAACATACACACAAACTTTCAGATTTATAATATTAGTAAGATAAGGACCACCTCTTTTTTTATCGAGTAATGTTATAAAAAAAACTAAGACCTTTTTGTTTCAGACTCCAATTGAACCCATGGAGATTAAGACGCCAAGACAAAAGCACAGGGAAAATCAAACGGACATCAGCCAAATCATCCACAGCAAGCACACTCAAATTGATAGTTCAGTTTCTCCAATGAAAAAAACTCCAAATGTAATAATGTAATGATCTAAGACTTGAATAAAAGAAGATTCACTTTGTTTTTGTGAAATGTTTAAATACACTGTATTTGACTAATTAATTTGTTTTATTTACTAAACCTCAACTTCCTCATCAATAAAATTCCTATTGTGCCTATTGGGGTTTCTAAATTAGTTAAGTTACTCTTGCAAAATATATTTTGTTTTATTTCACAGTCATTATTTTTTAATATTTTCATTCTTGCAATTTGGAACTTTAAGTTATTCAAAATCCTTAACTGTCCTTCAGCATTGGAATTGTGCAATGTCAATGTTTCACAATAATTATAATTGCCTAATGAAGATCTCAACTTATAGCCAAGACAGTCAAACGGTAACAGTGGTAAAAAAATAACATTTTTAGCACTTTAACATGGATTTTTACATAGCCTAACTTGAAAGAATCTAAGTTTCAGAGGTTTACTGTTTTCATGCGTCTTGTTAATTGCCTAAACTTAATATAATATAAGCTATTTTGAAATTCATTAAATCACCCTTAAAATGGTTATTCTAATCTAGTAAGGAATAACTTCTGGTATTGTGTCTTTAAAAGTCTGATATAACAAATTCAAGAATTTTGTAAATGTAGCCTATTTGTGAGTGAATCAGAATCATAGCCTACAGTAATAGGCCTTCAAATGCATTCATGGTCATGCCTTAATAAAATAATATATTCATTTTATTTGCTTTTACATACAGTTCTGCAGTGCTAACAGATTGTTATAATAAAAATTATTATAACTGTATAAAAAAACTACATCTATTACTTTTAGGTCATTAATAATTAGTTAGAAACGTTAAAGTATGATTTTTAGCCAGGATATATACTCTCTAGTTATAAAACAAAGGAATGCTTGCCATACTAGAAGCTTGATTATAAATATGTTTAAAATTTTTGGCCCCAAGAACTGAATATGCAATGAAAACCAACTCACGTTCAGATGTCCAAATCAATTTATCATGTAGATATATTACATGTATCTCTGAATTTTTGGCTATGTCAGGTAATTGTAAATAAAGACTAGTATTAAGAGAAATGTTATCACAACAAAACTCATTTATTTAATTTTTTTCTAGTAAGAACTCGAAGGTTGAACATGAGCTATCAGCCCATTTATTAACATGCAATTTTAAATTTCGCGCCAACTCCGGCCTCACGCAAACATGGCGGGCGTTTGACACGTGTAGTAACTATCACCAGCTAACGGCGGTTGGAGAAATCCGTGCCCCCACCACCAATCCTCTATACAGTCTAATAAAACGGAAAAAGACTCCGAAATGCTAAGTTGGGTAAACACGTTAAAACCCTTAAAGCTGGGTTTTCCTAGACGCGGAGTCGGCCAGCGGAGAGCGGACAACGGAGAGCGGAATTGAAATTAACATGGCATTCCGCTCCGCTGCTAGGAAAACAGTAACATTAAATTGCCTAAGACCAGCTGAGTCCGCTCTCCGCGTTCCTCTCTCCGCTGGCCGACTACGCGCCTAGGAAAACCCGGCTTAAGCTGGGTTTTCCTAGGCGCGGAGTCGGCGAGCGGAGAGAGGAACGCGGAGAGCGGAATTGAAATTAACATGGCATTCCGCTCCGCTTCTAGGAAAACAGTAACATTAAATTGCCTAAGACAAGTGGAGTCCGCTCTCCGCGTTCCTCTCTCCGCTCGCCGACTACGCGCCTAGGAAAACCCAGCTTTATTTAAACAATATAACAAATGCTGTAACCATTTTCAACCACATTAAAATGAATAAGATGTTAACATGTACTTACGAATGTTTAAAACATCCAGGCTAAAGTACCTCCGAATGTACAAAACGTCATAAAACTTGGTTAAACATATTGCGCAGGTTTTTATTGTTTGAATTGAAATATTAGTATATACTTGTGTATACAACATATAAAAAAATTAAGTAAAAATAAGTATATATATTTAGGTTAATTTGACCTTGAAGTCTAGCTAACGCCTCCACACTACAAGTACTCAAAGTTTTTAAAGCATCCTAAGACTAAGTTGTAAACATATTGCGCAGGTTTTTATTGTTTGAAATATTAGTATATACTTGTGTACACAACATATAAAAAAATTAAGAAAAAATAAATATTTATATTTAGGTTAATTTGACCTTGAAGTCTAGCTAACGCCTCCACACTGCAAGTACCCAAATATCGTCTACAGATGCAATACGCCAAAGAATATTGTCTACGTGCAACACGCCTACGTACAATCTCCAAGAAGTGGTGTACTTTTATCAGGACGACACCAATCACAGCATCGAAAATGGTGGATCCATCCAATTAAGCGACAGAAAGTCCGAAGGGATGTTCCACACATTGCATACTAAACTACAAAAGTATTCAGACAAGGTTTTTGGAATATTATCGAATGTCCCAAAACGCTTTTGATTACTTAATAGAAACAGTATCAAAACGTTTGAAGACGAAGGATACCAAACTAAGAGAAGCAATTGGAGTAGAGGAAAGGCTTTTAGTGACATTAAGGTAATTTTAGGCTACTGAATTTTAACTCATTAGTTTACACAGTGAACCCACTCGCTTCAACAATCCTCGGTGTGTCGAATAACACTACTTAAATGATCATTTGATCTCTATTTCTATTCTATTTCCATTTTAATTTTATTGCATTCAATTACCCTCAGAAGTAATATTTTCTAAAGCGTTTTGGGACATTCGATAATATTCCAAAAACCTTGTCTGAATACTTTTGTAGGTTTAGTTTAGTATGCAATGTGTGGAACATCCCTTCGGACTGACTTTCTGTCGCTTAGTATTGGATGGATCCACCATTTTCGATGCTGTGATTGGTGTCGTCCTGATAAAAGTACACCACTTCTTGGAGATTGTACGTAGGCGTGTTGCACGTAGACAATATTCTTTGGCGTATTGCATCTGTAGACGATATTTGGGTTGGTGTAATTATTACAATGAAAAAAAAAACGAGAAATCCTGGACAATTTGATATACTAAAAATAAAACTGAATTAACACTGTGCTACATTTCTTGAGCAATCATTGAAAGAGCCGATTTGCAAACAATGGAAACATAGGGAAAAGGAAAGTAAAAAAACCCAACCAAGTAGAAGAAATATAAATAATGTGTTTTTTCATTTATAATCGTTATTATAGAAAATCTAATGCGGCTATGAGTGGGAAACATTTGTAGAGAACACTAAAAAACTAAATCAGCTTTTGAAAAAAGATAAGATATTTACAAAAAAAAAATGATTATATCTAACTGTTGTGTACATCTTGAGTATTTCCATAATCTTTGAGTCGACTCTTATAAAGTCATCGGAAATTATTACTGTTATTCGTTTTTAAAAAATGCCAGTAATGCTTCACAATTGCTCGAATTCGAGCAACAGGTACACTAGTCTATATATTAATTGAAACTGGTTTTCTTTGTGACAGCTAATTTGAGAGAACGGCTGGGTGTAGAAACTCGGTAGGGGTCTCTAAAGAAAGGTCTTGGTCTGTAGATGAGCCATCAAAAGAGAAACATGGTAAATTCCCTTGGGGCTCTGCCCCAGTGGCCTTTAAATTCCCATCCCATGTTATTCTTATGGAGGAAAAACGGGGTTTTGTCACAGCTAATTACAGAGAACGGCTGGGCGTAGAAACTTGGTAGGGGTCTTTAAAGAAAGGTCTTAGTCTCATCTTAGTCTGTAGATGAGCCATCGAAATAAAAATAAGGTAAATTCCCTTGGGGCTCTGCCCCAGAGGCCTTTAAAGTCCCCTCTTCAGATTTGTTTACATTACGACCATATGCATAGAAACATCCATTTGCACTACTTTTGAATGAAACAGTTAAAACTATTTCTTATGGAGTTAACTTATATCTATTGTATGGGTTGGTTTCTACATTTTTTAACCCTTCTTGGAGATTTTGCACGTAGACGATATTCTTTGGCGTATAGCATCTTTAGTAGACGATACGCACCACTACTAGTAGTGGTGAACCCAGAATATGACGGCACTTTAGGCACGTTTTCCCCATAAGAATAACATGGGGATCATTTTTTGGCCACCAATTCTAAAAATCCTGATCTCGACCTATATCCCCTATATAAATGTTCAATACCATTGTGCAACTCCATTACTATAGTTCGGCCGCTTAGACAGCGACCTCCTCCAGCATTGGTTTAGCATTAGCGCGCAGGTCGTTTTCTAAGCGGCCGAACTTTGAAATCCACATCCATTCACATGTATATTCTCAAAATCGAGAGAGGTTTGTACGCGAACTCGGGCGCGCTCCCGGCTCATGGCGCGGGCATGGTCGGGACCCATGGTCGGGCTCCTGCTTCTTGCCTCTAGTGGCGGGGCTGTGAAATGGTATCTTTTGTGGAAATCCATGAATTCTGGCTACTTGGGAACCCAAGCCATTTGACATACAATAAATCACCCTTTCTCCTAATCACCTTCTCTACCAAATACATGTCTTTATACTTGGTCTTTAACAACTCCTCTGTATAGAATGTGGGTGATAGCGTAAGGATTTCCAAGTTTAAACATGTTTTTAGTAAAGGATACACCCCAAATTGGACAGGGGAACTATTTAAGGATTTCCAAGTATAAACATGTTTTTAATAAAGGATACACCCCAAATCGGACAGGGGGGCTATTTAGGTACAATACCTAGCAGAAGTTAAGAATACAAAGCTTGTGACTTATATCTTGAAAGATGAAAATGGTAATATAATCAGGGGAGGATTCTATATAACGACAGGAGTTAGCCTACTGTGATAAAAAGATTTTCCACTGATTTCGTAATGGAACGTTATACTGTATTGCAAAACATGATATGATACAGAAGAAAATCTATTTTAAAATCAGAAAATAACATTGCAAATACTTCTTTTTGACAATTCAGTAAATCCCAATAAATGTGCGTTTTAAAATACAATTTAAAAATTAACAGCCTGTTTCATTAATAAGTATTATCCACATGGCCATTATGTAAACAAATCTGTGGAGGGATCTTCAAAGGCTTCTGGGACAGAGCCCTAAGGGAATTCACTTCGTTTTTCTTTTGATGACTCATCTACAGACCAAGACATTTCTTTAGACACCTCTACCAAGTTTAACACTACCCAGCCGTTCAAACACTATATACATACATATAATTAGGGTAAACTATAACTAATACTAAAACCATTTTCCTGATCCATTTTACTTTTTTATTTATTTATTTTTTACATATTTGAACATAGTGCAGTAAATTCTTCAAAATTATAAAACTCTCCACTAATTAGAAAATTCTTAATTTTCGGCTTTTTTTTGACTTATTTCTGTTTTCCTCATTTCTGATGCTACAAGGGAGAGAAGGATAAGTTTAACCCCAATATAATAAGGGCTTTCTTTAATTTTTTTATTTTTTTTATGCTTTTTAATTATAACATTTTGTTTGTGTCTAGTATTGTAAGTATGTACATCTTGCTGTATTTGCAGTTGCAACTCCTGGTTTTTAACATACAATATAGTCTTATATATGTAGAGGCTGTAAACTGTAAAGAATTCTAATTCTTTGAAACGATTTTTACATGATTCATTTTCATTTAAATTAAGGATGCACCTTATGGCCTCTTTTTGTAAATGTAAAATTTCATTTAAGTTAGATTTATTTGTTCCACCATAAATTTCAATGCCATATGAAATATGGGAGTGTATACTTGAATAATAAACCACACGCAAAATTTATTTACTGCTAAGGGGGTATAGTCGTCTTAAAGTAAAAATACCGAGCTAATTTTATTACATATTTTATCAACAAGTGTGGTCCACTTTAGTGTACTGTCCAAGGTTAGACCTCAAAATTTGGTTTCACATGCATAATTTTCAAATATCTTTTCCCCAGACTTTTTACACTGAAATTTGATGAAGGTTGTTTTGTTTTCATTAAGTAAAAGGTTTTTTCATTTAAGTAATGTCCAATTATTTTGAGCGAATCTTTCATTTTTATTTCAAGAAGTTCAATATTCTTTTCATGCATAGACATACTTATATCATCTGCATACAAGCAGAGGGCATTGTTTTCTACCCGTTCAAATAAATGTTTTGGCATCCCTCCCAAGTAGCACAGGAACAGGAACGGACCCAACAAAGATCCCTGAGGAACAGAATACTTAACTTACCTAACATTATATCTAACATTGTACATCTTATTTCCATCCAAATACCCAATGTTAACAAACTGTTGGCGGCCCGCTAAATAAGATTTTATCCAGCTCAGTTCTTTACCACTAATTCCATATGCTCAGAGTTTTTGCAGTAACTTTCAATGATTCACACTATCAAAAGCCTTAGGCATATAAAAAAGGCACCTACAACATAATTGTCCTCATCTAACTTATGTAATACATTTTCAATATAAGAAATTATAGCTGTAGTAGTAGATTTATTTTTTTCTATATCCATGCTATATATAAATATATATTATATTACATTATACTATATAGATATATATCCTTGATCTAATAAGTGGTTATTTTCAAATTAATCTAATAGTTGAAAAAGTAAACTTTTTTCAAATAGCAGGTTGAATTGCCAATGGTCTATAGTTCAGCGGATCTTTTTTATCACCTTTTTTATATATGTACTGGAATTATTTTTGATATTTTTAGTTGAGCGGGGAAAACGCCTGTTATTAGTGATGTATTAATCACATGTTAAAGTGGCTTTAACAAAACAGATTTTGATTCTTTAATAATTTTGATTACAGCATATGGTTCTTCTATTTTTTTTGCCGTTATGTTTGAGTGAAATATTACTATGCCATCTTTCTTTTTTGTTTGGTTTTTTGTTTCAGAGTTCACAGTTTTCCAAACAGTTTTGTTAACATTGGTAGAATTTCTAATTTTATTTCAAAATGGGTTTCTTTCTTAAGTTCTATCATTTTTTTGTATCTATTCTTGTGTTCCTTAATATAATTCTTCAATGATAATATGTTACTTCTATCATCTCCATACAAGTCATGTTCTGCAATTATTTCATGATGCTCATTGATAATTTCATCATCAATCCATCCATTATTTAAATTACTGGAAACTATTTTTGTTTTAGGGAAATTTATTTTAAAATGTTATAGAAATAAGTAAATTTGTCTTCCACATTACAGTTATAAAGTTTTGTCCAATCCTCTTTGGAAAGGTCATAAATGAAAAGGTTAATGCTCTCTTGTTTATACCTCCTTTCATACTTATGTATTTTAAGATTTAAATTGTTTTTTGTACTTTTTGAACTGAGGATTTTAAAAAAGTTGTCCATCATGATCTGACAATGCTGTAATTAAACATTCTACTTCAAAAATTTTGCTATCTAAATTAAATTAAATTAGTAATAAAATTATCAATGGCAGATAAACTCTTTTCAGCAACTCTAGTTGGAATTGTAATTGTATATTTAAAACCATGCATCTGCAAAACAAACTTCCTTTTCTTATTGTCCCTCAAAACATCGATATTAAAATCTCCCCCCCAATAATTTTTTTTGGTCAGTTCTACTTACAATTTTCAAAAGTTCACTTAGTTTTTCCAAATATATATCAACGCCTTGTGATGGTGATCTATATCCACCAGCCACCAAGAATTTTTCTTTGCCTGCTTTAATTTCTGTTACACAAGATTCAAAGATTTTATCTTGGTTAAGCGCCTGTAATGAACTTAGCATTATATTTTTGAATACAATCTTTTCTGACACCAAAATTAATACTCCCCCTCCCCCTCTATTCGTGTACCAGGTCGAAACTTGATACACTGGTATTTTGAGTTTTGTTATTTCATGTTGGTTTAATTTATGTTCAGTCAAAATTATAATATGTGGCTTTAATTCTTCAATTGTGATAATTAATTAGTCAATTCTAGTTGCTAGACATTGTATGTTTTGATGGAAGACAGATATACTACACGATTTCTTATCATTATTGATCGTAGAAGTTAATTCTAAAGATTTAGGTAGTACACTCACTTTGCTACCAGGCATGGAAATGTCTGGGAGTCAAAAAGTGACTTGTGGAGGTCTGATTACCAATATCTTTCAGTTGCATGGTTTCAAATTCCAAAAAAATATTTTTTAATCAATGTATGTGTGTGCTTCATTTTTATATTGCTTTTGGTTTTAAAGGACTTTCCTCGGTGCACTTATAAGGTGTCTCTTTGTATGAACCAATGTATGTTTCTTCATTTTGCTTTTGGTTTAGAAAGATTTTCCGCATATAGAGCACTTATAAGGTCGCTCTCGAGCATGAACCAATGTCAATGTTCCTGCATACTGCCTTTGCTTGTAAAGAATTTTCCACTATGATACATTGTATGTTCCTTACTATAGCTTTTGTTTGTGAAAGTTTTTCCGCATCTAGTGCACTTATATATAATGGTCTCTTTTCTGTATTGATTAATGTGTGATTCTTCATTTTCTCTTGCGTTGTAAAAGATTTTCCGCAGGTGGCGCACCTATAAGGTCGCTCTAGAGTATGAACCAATGTATGTTCCTTCAAATTGATTTTGGTTGTGAAAGATTTTCCGCATTTAGTACATTCATAAGGTACCTTTACTTTATGAAACAATGTATGTTTCTTCATATCGTCTTGCGTCATGAAAGATTTTCCGCATGTAGTACACTTATGAGGTCGCTCTACAGTATGAAGCAATGCATGTTTCTTCAAACTATCTATGGTTGTAAAAGAGTTCCCACATGTAGTGCACTTATTAGGTCGCTCTTTAGTATGAACCAATGCATGTGTCTTCATATATGCTTTGGTTGTAAAAGATTTTCCGCAGGTAGTGCATTTGTAAGGTCGCTCTCCAACATGAATCAATGTATGTTTCTTCATATTGGCTTTTTCTTTAAACGATTTCCCGCATGTAGTGCACTTATAAGGTCTCTCTTCTGTATGAACCAATTTATGTCTCATCATTTGTGTTTTGGTTTTTAAAGATTTTCCGCATGTAACGCACTTGTAAGGTCGCTCTCCAGAATGAACCAATCTATGTTCCTTTAAACTGGCTTTGATTGTAAAAGATTTTCCGCATATAATGCAATTGTAAGGTCGCTCTCCAGTATGAAGCAATGTATGGTTCTTCATACTGGATTTGTTTTTAAAAGATTTTCCGCATGTAGTGCACTTATAAGGTCTCTCTTCTGTATGAATCAATGTATGTTTCTTCATGTTGCTTTTGGTTTTAAAAGATTTTCCGCATGTAACACACTTATAAGGTAGCTCTCCAGAATGAACCAATGTATGTTGCCTCAAATTGTTATTGGTTGTGAAAGATTTTCCGCATGTAGTACACTTATAAGGTCTCTCCCCAGAGTGTACCGTCAAATGTCTCTTTATCTGATATAGTTGAAAAAAGGTTTTCTCACAAATCAAACATTTAAAGCGACACTCACCCGTATGTTTTAATATATGATTCCTCATTCCCCAACGACATGAAATGATTACTCTGCATAATGGACACTGATAAGGCAGCTTTTTAGTGATCTTTAACATGTTTTTACTTTTTACTTTCTGACTTTGTTGAACTTATCAGATAACCTTGTAACATAGATAACTCAACTAGTCAGTATACTTTGTATATACTGTATATTTAAATGTTTCCCTTGTTTAAAGGATTTATTAAATGTTTAATATTTACCATTGGTATAGTGACAGCACCAATGATAGTTACATAGAGATCTCATTTAATTTTCAAACATCTCTTGCTCAAATCTCGTTATCGATGTGTTGAAGATATTGTGCAATATACGTATAGAATTATTCTTTTTCCCTTGTCTTTTTTCAATCTCAGAATTAAAATGACTTATTATATCAAGTTATACTTTTTGTATATTGTTTTGAAATATTATCTTATCCTTCAGCATAATGTTAATTGTAATATAAATTCTTCTTTTACTGAACAAATTATTGACTTTCATTTTTTATAGTGTTTAATAGAAAACCCTTTCATCTTTTGTTTAAAGTATTATATAAGATAATATATGATGCTTTACTGTGGTAAACTTGAGTTTGTTTTCCTTCTGTCTGGGAGAGTCTATTGCCACCTCTGAAAAAAAACATACATTATTAGTCATAGTCATAGTCATAGTCAAGAATCTTTATTCATAGTATACATGGTTGTACATGAATAGTGTCAAATAAGTTAAAACTAATGTTTAAAACTATGATAACGCCATTTTCAATTCGTCTAAAGAGTACAAAGACAGGTCCATTAAATATTCCTTGAGAAGTTTTTTAAAAATGTTGGGTTTTTGTTCTGTTTTAATTTTCAAAGGAATAAATTTTAAAAATTCATGTCCTGCATTGACAGTCTTTTTTTTTTAAGAGCTCTAATTTGTGTTTTCCAATTACAAAATTATTTTTGTTACGTGTATTGTAGTTATGATTATTTTCTTTAATTGGTGGAATAAAATTTTTGTTTTTGACAAACATAATACATTCAAGAACATACAAACCATAAACAGTGAGGATCCTTAAACGTTTAAAGTGTTCTTTTGCAGAATCATCTTTGTTCATTTTTAACATAGCTCTGATTGATTGCTTCTGTATTGTCAAAATTTGGTCTAGATTCGAATTTGAGGTGGCTCCATATACACATATGCCATAAGATATATGAGATTGAATATGGGAAAAATAAATCATTTTTAAAACATCAATACTGCATAGTTTTGACATTTTTCTAATCGCACAAAGACCGGAATTTATTTTATTGATAACAAGTTTACAATGTTTGTCCCAAGACAAGTTGCTGTCCAATGTCAGGCCAAGGAACCTTACGGCTTCTGTTATTTCAATTGGTTGGTTATTTACTTCAATATTAGGATTGGAATTGTTTTTGTTTTGTTTTGTTTTGAATGTGACACATTTGGTTTTACTTTCATTTAATTTTAAATTGTGATTATTAAAAAAATCCTCAATACAAGCTATTTCTATTGTGGATAGCAACTCAACATCTTCTGCAGTTTTCCCAGATACTTTAAGATTAGAGTCATCTGCATAAAGATACAAACCTGTACATGGGGCAAAATTTAGACACTTTTTAAAATTTGTTAAGTAACAAATGAAAAGTAAAGGTCCCAGGACCGATCCTTGAGGTACACCAGATCTTATTGTGCCCATATTTGAACTGTATTTTGATTTATAATTGTCTTTAGTGATGTGAGTTATTTCAACAAACTGTTGTCTATTTGATAAGTATGATTTAAACCAATTAAGAGAGTTATACCTGATTCCAATTTTTTCTAATTTAAAAAGTAATAGTTCATGATTAACGCTATCAAACGCCTTCGATAAATCCATGAACACTCCCAACACTTGCTCACCCTTGTCAATTAGACATTTACATTTTTATATCACATTTATTTATCCGTTAATTAAGTTTTAACAATAGTTTAGGGTTCCCAGACAAGTACCTTTAGTGAATTCCCCGACTTTCCCTGATCATTTTCTGTTAATTTCCCTGACCACAGCAAATTTTAGGAACTTAGTCTTGCTTTGCTTTTTGTGACTCCGTCATGGCAACAGAAATAAAAAATTATTTTTAAGCCCCTAATGGCTACCGGTAATGGTAAATAATACCATTGACTAACACTGTTAACATAACATTTATGAGAACCTTCTGTCTCGTTATAAATATTTTGATTTAAATACAAACATTTTGTTTGTAAAATATATCGTCTTGTCAATAGTTTTTATTGACTGGTATTAAGTTCCGTCTAGATAAAGTAACTTAAAGATAAAGTACTGCGAAAGAAAGATACTGTGAAAGATAAAGTATCTGTAAAGATAGTAGTCTAGATAAAGTACTGCGGCTAATATATCCATAAACCTTCCTTGGTTTTGAAGTAAGATATACCTCTTATTGGGGGACATTCAATAGAAATTAGATGATAATAAATTACGATGCCGCACATAACAAAACAATCGCCATGAACAGCTCGTTAAAAAGACTCTCGTTAAGGACTTCTCGCCTCTCGGTTCGGTAGACGAATGCAAGATACGAGAGAAGCCGTGCTGAAACAAAACAATCGTCACGAACATCTCGATAAAACCTCTCGGTTAGAACCTCTCGCTAAGCAAAATTACAATCAAAACGTTTCGATTGTAACATCTCGCAATGGGGCATCACTACCACCAACCTCTTAAAAAAAAAATCCACTGGTGTACAAGCAACAATCCAGACGCGTTGTGGGGGGGGGAGGGGTAGCGAATGTGAGCGTGGCCTTGGAACGAGTCACAGCGGCCCTGCCCTACACCTGCTTCATGTCTCTCTCGCGTTTGTTATAATTACTGTAAATGTTTAAACAACAATACCGACTAAAGCAGCCAAGCAATTTTAAAGATTTAAAAAGTAAAATTAATTAAAAATTATTGTCTTTAAAATGACTACAGGTTCCTGCAATTTTCATTTTTCATTTTGTAATATAATTATTTTACTATAATTTTTTAGCCAGCAACTTAATTAAAATTTATCTTCAATGGTGTGAATTGTTATCTTATCCCGTTCACAAATCAGTTTTTAAAATGAAAATCTGATGAAAATTCCATTAATAAACACCAACACAAAATGACTCCATTTTGGTGCTGCGACGTGGTGGCAGAATTTGGAACTAAGCCTGGGATGTTTAGCCTTTAACATTCCTACGGTTCTAATAAACAATAAAATACCTTTAAACCATTGTTGAGGTGCGGAAACCACTGCAAATTGCAAAAATATACAGAACTTACTGCTTAAGGTGTGAAGAAAATTGCACACCAAGGAACAAGGAGCGGAATGCTACAGACCGGTGACTACTTAGGGGGTCGCCGGATTTCTACCCCCGGATATTTACCCCCATGAAAAAACGCCTACGTCACTTTGTTCAAACCCCCAATTTTTTGCATTTTTGTCAAGTTTACCAGTTATTTTTTGAAATACTAATAATTTGTTTGGAGAATACGACATCTATGAAATAACGAACAGCTGTGAAAGATGAAAAGTTGAAAAATTAAAAATGGTGGATATTCAATCAAAAAGATAGTTTTTAACGCTTTTTTAACGTCTTTCTAATAGAAAATTAACATGAAAGGCTCAGGGGTCAACCTTTTGAAGCCCTAATCAAAATATCTTTTTTAATTACCATTTTGCTCTGCGCAAGATCTTAAGCTTAAAAATGACACCTCAATCGTAACAATCGGCGAAGTAGGTCGGGTGAAAAAGGACTGTTACAGCTTATTGAATTAGGAAGATAGATAATGTTAAACAAGACAATGACATATCGCATGCTTTATACTGGATATTACAAGACAATGATTAACCGAAGAGCCGTTGATTTCCGAGGGTAGAATTCCGGGGTCAGATATTTATGATTTAACCACTGGGGGTAGATATCCGGGGGTAGATGTCCGGGGGTATATGTCTGGGGGTAGATGTCCAAGGGTAGATTTCCGGGGGTAGATATCCTGGGGTAGATGTCCGGGGGTAGATATCTGGGGGTAGATATCCGGGGGTAAATGTCTGGGGGTAGATATCCGGGGGTAAATGTCCGAGGGTGGATTTCTGGGGGTAGATGTCCGGGGGTAGATTTCCGTGCTATGGCAAATCACTTTATAATCAAACAATTACATGTTGATTATTTAACCCTCCCAGTGTTACTTGACGAAAATTCGACAAGCAGCACACTTTGTGTAGTGTTACATGTCGATTTTTCGACACGCAGACATCGTTTACGGCGAAGGCTCTATGACTGACTGAATCGGATTGAACTGGATCGAGTTAGGTATCGTTCTTTCCGTAATATTCTAAGCTTTCTCCAGAGGTCTGTCTCAGCGCTGTACGTTCTCTGAGCCGATCGTAATTGTAGCAGACAGCTGACGTGCGTGTATTTGTAAACAGCTAGGTTACCCTCGGACCGATGACTGATGTGTTTTATTACGTTTATCATTGTTTTAGTGTTAAAAATCAAAAGTAGTGATATACGTGTTGCATTATAAGAAGATTTAAGTGGTTTTGAAGTGCTGGTTGATGATCCTGAAGAAGTAGGTAGTGATATTGATGTAAATTATCAGCCAGATTCCTAGCTATACTGAAATCTGTTTTTTGCCCATAACTTATTTATTTGCAAATCTACTTCCTTATATTATTATATATTTGTAATCCTCATAAAATTTAGAACAAAGTGGCTATTTTCAAATATTTATAGGCCTATAATTTATACAATTTCATTGAGCGCAAACTTATTTTTTTTTGGAAAATTTTTGAAATTATATTTTTTTTACCTAAAAATTTTTTTTTTTTTAATGTTCCTTATGTTTTATATATAATATTGAAGCCCATGATTTTCAAAACAACAAAATGGTATATAGAACATTAGAATTAACATTGTTTTAAGCTTCTCAGATCCGTTTTAATAAAACCTTGCAAATGCGCCAAAAATAGGTGGACATTAAGGCCTAAACTATGGACACTTGGAGGGTTAATAATATATTGGGGGTAAATTTCCAGTCGCGGGCAGTTTCTTGACCGTGCATAGGCCCCACCCCTCGTGACGTCAAAATGACGTAGGCGTTTTTTCATGGGGGTAAATATCCGGGGGTAGAAATCCGCTACCCCTACTTAGGTACTCTTGCAAGTGTAACATGCTAATTATTAATTTATTATGATTGTTTATGCTAATGTTTTGATAAAAAATATGAAATTTCTAAACTTTTAACTATGGTATAGCAAGCATTTTTGAAATTGTATTGTCGTTTAATCAACTACGGTATTCTAAAGCATAAACAACATGGGTGTAACATCAATTAACAACCTGTTTGCCTATAGTACCTAACCTTCACTTTACCTTCTTAATCTAACGTAACTTCAAAACACTTAATGCAGCCACGAACCTGCATAAACCGCGACCTGTCTTCCCCACATGCCCAAATATCATTTGATTGTTTCAGTTTCAACTTAGGAGGATTAAACATTATAATTTTAAGCTAATCCTCCTTGACCTAGGTTTCCACCGAAGTAGATCCACATCACTTCACTTCTTGTTCCCAGGTGTGCTGCGCACCTTAAGAAAGAAGTTCCGTACATTTCCAACATTGTTGGTGGTTTCCGCACCTTAAATAAATGTTTTAAAGGCATTTTATCACTCATTAGGATCGTAGGAATGGTTTATGAAGGTTTAGAAGAAAAGTCCAGACTTTCAGAAATACCTGTATGCCTGTACAGTTGAACCTCGTCTGTACGAACCTCGTTAAAACGAATTCCTCGATAAGACGAATTTTTTTTAATCCCCTTGACACTTTCATATAGGTCAATGCTAAAAACACCTCTATACAACGTAGTAATTAAGTTAAAAACCTCCATAAGACGAATTTGTTTGTGACATGGGCTAGGACTGATTAACCTCTATACAACGAATATTCTTAGCACAAAACCTCTACAAGACGAACGTGACCTCTATAAGACGAATTTATCATAATCTTAACCTCCATAGTACGTAGTTTTCAAAACAAACAGAAGCTTGTCTCAACATGAAACCCCCACCCATCCCTCCTCCTTCCTCAATCATTGTTTGGAAAAACCTTGGAGCAAGGAGAAACCTCTATAAGAAGAATAACAGCAGCATTAAACCTCGATAAAACGACCCTCTTTATTAAGAATACCTCTATTGTACGAATATTTCCCGTACCCCTTGAAATTCGTCTTATAGAGGTTCAACTGTATTAACTTAATTAGGTTGGCACGGGAACCTAGCCCTAAGTAATTCATTTATATTACTAAAAACTATTTTTCCCCAAATAATAACTGGAACAAAATTTCTACGGACACAAAAATTAACTAACGAGCCATAAGTTATACAGTTTTATCTATTTAGTCCTGCCGTAATAGAGACATCTTTGCCAAAAATGGATAGGTTAAGAAGTTTGATATAGGCCTAGGCCTAACTAACTTAACCTAGGCCTATCCATTTTTTATCGCTCATGTCATTGCGATAAGTAATGCAATGAAGTTAGCCTATTCTAACTATAGGCCTAACCAAGTTAACTTCAAGGTCTAGCCCATGTAGCACAGATGGTTGGGCCAACGTTGGCCAACTGTGGGACAGTTGGTCGATGGTTGGTTGGAGCTTCCACAACCAACCAACCGTTGTCCAACTGTATATCTCGTAGTTGGGCCAACCAATATTTACAACTGTGGACCAACATTGGTTCATTGTTAATGAAATACATTAATATGAATTGCTGGGTATCATACATCAAGCCAACCGTTGTCCAACAGTTTTTCACTCCGTTGGACCAACAAAAGATACTTTTGTTGGACCAACGATGGTCCATAGTTGAGTTTACACGACTTTCATTCTCTGGGTCTAGCTTTCACAACATAATTATAATAAAATATCTGGTTTTACAATATCTTTATCAGTTCCAAAAGTTTCCAAAAGTTTTTGGAACTGATAAAGGTATTGTAAAACCAGATATTTTATATATTACAGTTCCGGGGCTACAACAATGAATTTTAATAATTATAATAATGCAAATATTTTTTAAATTAATATTCTTTAACTTATTTGCAACAATTTAAGGGGAAAGAGTAATTAATCATATAACAGTCAATTCTAATAGCATTAATAATCTAACGGTAATTAATTAATCTATATTCAAATACCAGTATCCTCTCTAAGTCCAAAAAGAAAAAAAGAAAAAATTACTTATGATGCCTTAAGTTAAGTGTAGTATCAAAAATGTTTGAAGTATTGCGACTATTGCAACTGTCGGCTACTCTTTCACCACTTGAAAACTCTCTATATCAACAATCACAGATAGCTCAGTGGTAAGGTAAGAGGCTCTTAAGTCGAAGGACCCGGGTTCGAGACCCGTCTGGGCCAAAAAATTTTGTTCTAGCTTTTTTTCAAAATTTGTTTTTATGAACTATTTGATCAATTTACTCAACTAATAATTATGCTTTTCGTACTAAATCTTTATTATTTTGTGTGAAATAAAACGGTTGGTTGGATATCAGTTGTGTTATGGTTAGTTGGCCATCAGTATTTTGGATGGTTGGGCCATTGTTGGACAATGGTTGGCTGGAAAACAGTTTAAAGAGGTGACATTTCTACCGTTGGCCAACTGTGTGGCTCCACAATTTACCAACGTTGGCCCAACCATCTGTGCTACATGGGAGGACATTTGAAATTCTCTTAAAATTGCAGAAAAGATCAAATCTGAGGTTTTTAACTGAGTGATGGGAGAATCGAATATTTTAAAGAATTGAATAGTAAGTTACACAGTGTATTCATGCTGGTGGGCCTCCCCTCACTAACTTATTGGAATACTTTTACGAATAATTGTATTTGAACACCTTTAAGTATACAAGGGATGTAAAATGAGTGTGTGATTCTTTTTAAGCGAATTTCCCAAATAGGGAATAAGCTATTACCGTAGTACTCATAGTAAGACCTGGACTCGGGACCGATTTTCTTTTTTGTTTTGAGGTCCCTAACTTAGAGGCCAAAAACACCATCCGTTCAAATATGTAGGTCTAGGCTATACTGTAGTACGATAACTCGAGCAAAAATAATTCTATTTAGATGTTAGATGAAATTTGGTACAACGTGTAAACCTATATTTATTCGAACGACTTTGGGAACCAGCATAATCAGGCTGTGGGAACAGGGGATTATGGGGGGTATGGGGTAAAAATAGGTTTTTCCCATTTTTGACCCTAAAAACACAAAAATGTCCATGTTATTCTTATGGAGAATACATACCGGTAAGTCAACTGTTGTAGTTTGCTTGTTTATTCGAACGATTACTTAACTTACTGATCAAATTTGGAAATACATTACGGTAATTTTTTATTAAAGTAACTTAACTTACATTATAAACATTTTACAACAAGAACACTTTTCTACCCTTCCTGTTGCAGGAAACCTGAGTAAGTACTCGTTCAACTACATAACCTAACTAACAGTGAGTGAAGTATGGATTATTGATTATTTTATTAAGTACATAATATACGTAATAACACGATATTATCTTGTTCAATTATTGATGTAGGCCTACCTAATTTAATTTCAGTTTTAAGATCAAGTCGATAAGTTCTAAAGATTTTTTCATCACTCGACTAACTTACCATGATTTGTATTCACATGAATTAATTACCGATTACCGGAAATTTAATTTAGCCTAAATCTTTTCAAATTTAAAGACAATGACAAACAGCACAGAACACACTTGCTCCTTCTTGCTCTTTACTTCACTTGTACCTGTACTTTACTTACTTAAGTTACTTAAGTACCCACGTACGTAGACTGTTTTTTACGTTTACGAACGATACTCGATCTCGAACTGTAGTGTAGCAAGCAACTAGCTAGCAAGGCTGAAGGCTACGCCTTGGTCTTGGTCTTGGTAGTGTTGAGCCACGGCCTTGAGCACTGATCTAATAAACGGTATCAGCATTCTGACACAATACTTTCTCCCATAATTTTGTCAACAACCTTTATCATGTGATGTGTAAGCGGTGAGAGTAAATATGCGGAAATGGGATTAACTTAGTACAATTTTGTTCAGAATTTAAAGGACTACATACTAAATTTTTATCAAAATCGTTCGGGCCATTTTTGTGAAAATCCGATTTTTCCGTTATTTTATGGGGTTTTTATGGGAAAATAACATAATTTACAATAACTTTGGAACCGTAATTTTTAGAGAAATGGGATTTGTACCATTTTGTTCAGAATATAAAGGACTATAACATTCCAAATTTTTATCAAAATCGTTCGGGCCGTTTTTGGGGAAATCCTATTTTCCCGTTATTTTATGGGGTTTTATGGGAAAATTCCCATTAAAAAAATCAAAATTTTTAAAAATGAAAAAACTATCAAAACTTTAAGGACCATAACAACAAAAATTTAACAATAACAATAAACAAGTAGGCTATTCGCACGTCAGACGTCAAGACGTGCGCCGCTACCCAAGGCCCCACTAGAAAAAACAGTTTAGTGGGGCCTTGCGCTTGCACTACCGCACCGCACACGACACGTCTGTTCCAAATAGAGATCAAATGATGGTCGTTCTTTAACGTACGACGGCGCTGAAGGGCCACCAACTATAAAAAAATATTTTTCTTAATCTCTGAGAAAAAACTTAGAATTCTGAGTTTAAAGTCAGAATATAACAAGTGGGCGTTCCACTCTGAGATTAAAGTCAGAATTCAACTAGTGGGCGTTCCCCTCTGAGATTAAAGTCAGAATTTAACAAGTGTGCGTTCCTCTCTGTGAAAGGAGTTAGAATTCTGAGATTTAAGTCAGAATTGAATTGTGGGCGTTCCTCTCTGGGAAAAAAGTCGGAATATAACTAGTGGGCATTCAACTCTTAAGTCAGAATTGAACTGTGGGCGTTCCTCTCTTATTGCAACGATATTATCAGCATATCGATGCTATCATCCCTACTATCTTAGACAAAAGAAATAATATAAATATCATTTCTGTTGTCTATTCTACTGTGTTCTTCTACTTGCAACGTTGCCAATTCTACCAGGCCGCGGCCTGGAGTTAAAGGTGGCCGTGAGAAGAGTATAGTAGCACGGCCGCCTTGGTGGCCGTGGTAGTAGAGACTAGATAAGTCAAATTCTTACGTTAATCTCAGAGATGAACGCCCACAATTCAATTCTGACTTTAATCTCAGAATTCTAACTCCTGTCACAGAGAGGAACAACGCCCACTTGTTAAATTCTGACTTTAATCTCAGAGGGGAACGCCCACTAGTTGAATTCTGACTTTAATCTCAGAGTGGAACGCCCACTTGTTTTATTCTGACTTTAAACTCAGAATTCTAAGTTTTTCTCAGAGATTAAGAAAAATATTTGTTTATAGTTGGTGGCCCTTCAGCGCCGTCGTATTAACGTAATAAGATAAGTAACCATATTACTGAAATGTAGCTGCTACTGCCGTAATAGGTTACATCAGACTCCCTACTATTTTTGGAACTTGTAACGTGCTCGGGCACTCTAAACTACTTGACGTTCTGTACCCACAGGCATCTCTGCTTCCACATGCCATGCATAGATACATACATACATACATGATACATGATCTCTCCGTCCGTAGTCCTTTGCCTTAAGGAATTGGACAGGTCAGGGTTAATACAAAGAATAACCAACTTAATACTAATTTTTGTCACCGTCTAGGTAACTGTCTATGTCCTATAAACTTAACTCTACTAGATATTTTTAATTCTGATTTGAATTTTGTTAAGCTCTGAATTTCAAGTAATTTTTTCGGTAGGGCCTGGTGCAATTTCATCCCCATGTAATCTGGTTTGTGTTCAAATTTTATGAGTTTATGTTGGACTGCATGTGTGCCCTTTGTTCGTGTGTTGTAAATGTGATTTGTAAAAGTTGGTTTAATGTTCTGTGATTTTATATAGCAAGCTGATTCATAGATATAAAGTGAAGGGACTGTGAGAAACCCAAGTTCTTTATAAACATTTTTGCAGCTGGTCCGAGGCGGAATGCCCAAGATTGCGCTTACTGCCATGTTCTGCCAAACAAAAATCTGGTCAATATTCTTCTTCACAGCTCCCCATAGGATGATTGAATACAAAATGTGCTGTTCTATTAGGCCAAAATACATAAGTTTAGAGAGAGTTTCCGAAGGTCCTTATTCTTCGGAGTACAAAGACCCCTCGAGCCATTGACCCCTCCAGTTTTTTATTTGTGCTTCCCAAAGAAGGTCTTCTTGGGCCTTGGAGGTTCCTGGAATAACAGTTATTTGTTTAGTAGCTTCACTGTATCTTGGACCTTTCAACAGTTGCAGTTGCGAACTGTGTATTGTCATAGACGAAGGTGTTTGTTTGTTTACTACTGCTACTATTGACATTGACTTACTTATACTTTATACTTTTCGGTGAAATGGCAATTTATTTAATAAATCAAAATAGGCCTAAAACAAAGTCTGATTTTCTTGATCCATCTTTTGCATCTGCTGATGGATGAATTCAATTCGTACTTTGTTGAGTCTGTTGAGTCCATCGTGTCAATCATTCCAAATGTAACGCAATCCTCCCATGTGATCATGTCAAGCATACCTAATGGTGCACCTACTTTCAAATGGAAACATCGATACATGTATCGGCCAAGAACTTAGGACTTCAAAGGCCCCGGGAAAATTTGCCAATGGCAATGGGCGGGCCCCCAGTATGATTATACGAGAACATACGGTACACAATATAATGCATATTACAATTACATATACACACTAATTTTAATTAGGCAATGTAAAGGTGAATAAATATGTAAACCTGTTTTTATCATGCTGGATTTTGCATAAACTAATTTTATGTAATATTTTAAGTCTGAAATAGCTACAATGTACGGTGTTATGATTTGTTCTTGTTGTAACTGTATTTTATAAAAATGTAATATACCTAGCAGGTATCTTACACATTTTTTGCAATACATTAAAATGTAATATCCTTTGCAACAAATAATGAAAACTATAGATAAAATAAAATAACACATAATTCTAAAGAGTTTAATTTAAGGCTCGTTTATTTATAAATTAGCCTACTACTATAATTTTACTAACAAACCTTTTACTACGTTTACAAGATACAATTCAAAACAATTGTAAGGTTAATTTTTTATAGATTAATCATTATAAGGTTTAGAATATTGTTATTTTCCCTATAAATGTCACTTCCCACTCTTGATACATTGGCCTGGCAATTAAAACCCCTTTTCCCCCTACATTTCTTGGCGGCACTAAACCTGTAAAACCATAAAATAAGTTATGACTTATGTTTATTTTTATAATGGTTTTGGTGTGAAATTCTTGTTTGTAGACTATAATATGTGTAAGTACAATTAAGATCTTTAACAAGTTTGAGTTTTTCCTTGACGAGTAAAATGTTGCAATACAAGTCTAATAACCATCCAATCACAAGCATTTATATGAGTAACTGAAAAATGTTTAAATGTATCCAATATTATCGATTCAACACAATCAGTGGCGTAACAGACTTTTTCGGGCCCCCCTGCAAACTTATTTTTCGGGCCCCTTACCATGAGTTATTTAGACCACCGATAAAACAAACCCAATCACCCCCTGCGTTTTTTGACCAACAATGATCAAACATTTGTTATATCATAAACTGAGTAGCAAATAAATTATGGGTAATAAAAGGACGTGATAAGTATTTCAGTCATGGTTTGATGATAAAGTTACATCACTACATACATCATTATATCAATATCTGTGGTTGTAGGCCTAAGTAAATAGTTTTAAAATTAAATAAAAGTACCTTGTTTACTAATCCGTATTATAAATGTTTTATATAAAGGAGGTTTGATACTTAATTTATAACAACTTTTATTGAGCGAAGCTCACTTTCCCTCACTTTGTAACTTCTTTGTAAGAGCATCAGAATGTAATGGCTTGACCAATTGATATGAAATTTGGCCAACAGCTAAAGAATACTGAGCACAATGTTTATGGTAAAAAATATTTGCAAATTTCCTTCTGAATTTTATTTTACGGGTTACGCAATTTCGTTTGTTATTTTAATGTAAGTTGAAAAAAAAATATTGGGTTTATGACATATGGGTTTATCTCGTTTCATTTAAATAAGACAAACATATGTTAATTGTTTGTAACTGCTTTGTTTACATTCCAATGTTTACTTTCATCCTAGGTTAAAGTTGGAATGTAACAGTTTATCAATAGAAGTGACAGTTTTGCTATATTTGTTTTGAGCATGCCTCAAAGGCCACGTCGTAATATTGGTCGTCGCACCAATAATGCAAATATTGTAAGAGAGTGGCGTCGTGAACAAGAACAACCAGATGAAGCAGGGTATTTACTCAGGGGAGGTATAGAAGAGGCTACGATGACAGCTGAGGGCTTCTTATTAGCTGAGGGAACGCCATTACCGTAACAAAACATTCGGTAGCCATCGGCCTCGGTGGTCTAATGGATAGCGTGCCGGGCTGGTATACTTTAGGTCCCGGGTTCGAATCCCGCTAGTAACATTAACTTTTTGTCCAAGATTTTTTTATTATCAGCAAGTTTGGTTGGTTTGGTTTGGTTATTACAGTTTAATTTTATTATTAAGTCATTATAAAATTTTAATTGAGCAATTTCTAGTTTTATTTAATAAACAGAATTATTTTTCCGATTACTAAACTTTTGTTATATTATTTCTTTATCAGCAAGTTTGGTTAGTTCGGTTAGGTTATGATAGTTTAATTTTATAATTAAAAATAGTAAAATTGAATTTGAGGCATTTA